AATCAATATAAAAATACGACGGATAGCTTCTTATTTTCATTAAATGATCTTGATAATCCTCAAAGCGCAAAATTAGGACGCGTTACTAATAGTGATTATGCAGTTTATTGCCATAATTACTGTGGTCCAACTTTCGGAGGCAGTCCAGCACTCGGAGGCGGTTCATTATTCGGAAGCGGTTCAACACCTGGAGGCGGTTCATTATTTAGAAGCAGTTCAACACTTGGAGGCGGTCTAACTCTCCCTAACCCTAACCCTAACCCTAACCGAGGTTCAACTTTCGGAGGTTTCGCTCTTCAAACTTCTGGAGGTATCGGAAATATTCAGACATCTAGAGATAGTCACGATTTACACGTTCCAAATAACGGGAATATTTGGCAATGTAATGTATATTCCTACCCTGATATTGGAATCCCAAATTCATTTACAATCTCAGATTATGAAGTGTTCCAAGTAATTAAAAATTAGCATGAAATATTTTTTATAAGTATAGTTGAAAAATATTTGCATGATTAATTTTCTATTGTGTATACGGTTTATTAATTATATTTCTAAAAAATTTCATTATATAGAATACTTCAAAAGTTTCTGAATTTAATAATAAATATAATGGAACCCGCAATTTTTTCATTACAAAGACCAAAGAAAGTTAATAAATAATAGATTTAGTAAAATCTTAAAGCACATTATACATAAAAATGAGAAATAAATTTATTTGTTAAAAAATAGTAATTATATTATTAATATGATTTTGAACTTGATGCTTAAATTTAAGTTACGTCTTATAATTAAAAAATCGAGCATGAATACATTTTAAAAATGTTATTTTAATTTGAATATAAACGCATTTTGAAATATTTCATTTCAATCTAGATGTATCCTGATTCAGGTTTGCCAGTTATAATTATATTTACATAAATTTTCGTTGACAACTTAAATAAGTTTAATCGAAGTTTTCTCAAACAGTATTTTCGATTTAATCGTAACGGTGCCCATTTAATATAATTAAGATTGTAATTGATACTTGTGTGGCTCTTATTATTATTCTATTTATTAAATGCCATCGTCAAAAAAGAATAAAGAATTATTGATGGAAAGGTTGAAATCATTGTCATGTGAGTAAAGGCTAAGAGATGGTAAGCATCTGCTATTTTTTTCGAGCTTCCACGTATTTTTATTTTCATGAAACCTTTTAGCAAAAGGAGTAAAATAGTAATTTGCTGACGTCGAGAATGAGGATCTATGATAAGATTACTTGAGCAATCTCTTGAATATTCGATTAATTGCAAATTTTGCCAGACTAGGACAAATTTAATATTTTTTTACTAGCAAAAAATTTTTTCGCTAAGTAAGATTTATTACCCGACACTTTTTAATCCATCGATTAAGGTGTTTGAGAAGGCCTCAAATTTACAATGTTTAAATAATTCTTTAAAATTTTTTTATTCTCTTGAAACGCAATTTTGTAATCTTAAACTAGATCAGAATTATTCCTGCACATTTTAGAATTTATCATACTACACGTAAAAGAAATGTTATATCTTTAAAGAAATTTATTAAAATCGTTCTATTTTAAAATGATTCAACTCATTAACACAATATAATTGCCTTGAAACTTTTACAAGTTATTTTATAAAGTAACAGTGAACAAAGCTATATATGAGAATTTATATATTTTAAATGTTCAACTAATAATTTATAAATTTTATTAGAAATTTTAAAATGATTGATACATCGAAGTTATAATACTATACTACTGTACTGACAATCTAATCTATTTTACTGACTCGTTTTCCTGAGATATCATTTAATCGATAACAAAATTTCCAGACACATCATTTACCTATAATTAACTACCATTTCTCCGAACATAAAATATTATTATATTCATGTTGAGAAATAGGTTGCTGAGAAATTGGTGAAAATCTCTATCGACGAAATGGGCAGTCAGAAGTATATCTTGTAGGAAAATAAGTTTGTCGGAATTATATAGTATCAGAGAGATGATACTTCGGAAATTTAGCATCAGGATATTGGGCAACAACGAATTAAACTTACAAAAATCAAGCATAACTTTTTTTGAGTTTTTAATAAGACATTAGAAAAATGCAGTAAGTGTAATATTCTGGTAAATTTTTAATTAATGTAAAATGATATTTAATTTCATTAACAAAAATTATAATCATATTGCCAATGTTGGTTTTAATTACTTGTCTGATTTATCACAATAATGCGTACATACAACATATCTGCCTACGGTGATGATATTAGGAGGTTTTCTTAACCACGAATAGAATTGAAGATTAAATCAACATATATTTTGTTGGTGTTTTATGTGTTTAAATGGTAGATCGATATGCTTATAGATTTTATTAGGTGCTATTAATGAATTGATTTAATTGGCGATCCTAAAACCATGGGCCGGTGACTTATTAAACCAATTTATTGGGTCTGGAACTCAATCTTTGCCGGGCCATAGCATACCTATTCTCAAGTACAATAAACTTGCTCAAAGAATCATTAGTAGTCATTTTATGTCTAAATTACTAAAGCATTTGTATTTTATACAATCGAGATGCAACTTTTAAACATATAGTGTTGTTCATAACTAAAATTGGAGAAACTGTCGTGCAAAATCCAGATTCGATATAATTAGGACGAGTGTCGAGTTCGCTAAAAAAAACAAAGCTATCTGTTATCTTCTCGATTTATTCCTAAATTTTTATATACATTCAATAGATTGAACGTAAACCAATGACTAATTGGACTATGAATTTTAATTAGCATGGGCGTTATTTCGAAAATAGTCCTTAAAAATAGTTAGTTAATAACTCATAGATGCCCATTATTTCGAGAATTTACTGTATTTTTGCTCGAAAAATTGAATTTAATAAAAATCAATGTAGTAGTTGAGAATTATAATGCTATGATAATATAGAAAATGGTAAATCCGTTCTTTATATCTTAGTACTTTATTAATTAATACGGTTCATAATAAATTCAGTGAGCCACAAATAATAAGAGCCTATTTAAAAGTTGCGTATTATTCAAAATTTATTATTCAAAATTTATTATTCAAAATTTATTATTCAAAATTTATTATTCAAAATTTATTAAGGTATTTAATATTTTAATGCAACATACAAAGAATTGATATAAAGAAAAGTTCGAATTTAACCTATTAGGCGCGAGAACGTTATATAAAAAGTAAATACAATTTTCTGTAAGAATCAATTGTGTCAAGCCTAGTCAAACTTCACTATAACACCTTTTTGTCCAAAGAGTTTCTGTCTATATGACTTTGGTAAAGATATATCTAAGGTAAAATTTAAAAAATAATAGGGTATTTATTCTGCTAAATAGTGGGTATATAACTTACTGTAGGTCAAGATTATAACTTATTGGAAATATAGCTGAGATTTGACTGTAGTAAACCATAAATAATATCTTCTGCCATGTTTGGTTCAAAATTGGGAGTTGCTCTTATTCATCAATAACATCGGGTATTTCCAATTCATGTGATTTTACTATCTATGAAAAGAATTAATAAACAACTATTATAGATTAATATAATTTATTAAAAAAATTAAAAAGTGTAATTACCTCTATAAATAGTATTAGACGGGATAAAATTACTTTTATAATGTGAATCATTATATTCTTGCGTATCTTCATTTTTTATATCTTGTAAATTTTTATCAGATTCGATAAAATCTTTTGTTGCGGTTGGTCGTTCTTATGGTTCTAAATTCCAATATTTCTTCATTAAATCTGAATAGCACATTGCTGTATTTTCGTAAACATGTATCATGACATACTCGTTGTAATTTATAATGTAGTTTTGATTTTTGCTCTAAAGGTACTGTACAGGTTTGCCATATAAAATTTCCCACATTATTATACCAAATGAATAAATATCTGATGTTTTAGTACAGTCAGACCTCTATATAGTCGAATTTTTATAATCACACCTCTATATAAGCACTTAATTTTGTTAAATAAACTACTATAAATATATAAAAAAACCTCTGTATAAGCACAATCTCTTTATAAGCACATTTTTAAAAAAGGTTCTTATGCTCCCAACTAAGTGATTATATAGAGGGTTGACTGTATATTGTTGTTTATTCCAATCTTTTGGTGCAATATATGGTAAAATTCCATAAATTCCATTCGATTTTAATTTAGTTGTTATCGAAAGCCGCAATGTATGCGCTTTTAAAACTATTAAGTAGTATATTTCCGCTATACATTGTAACACGCTTAGTTTGTCATTTGTGCTATAGTATGTATATTTTTGCGTAAATTACCTTTTGAAGCATATTGCATAACAAGAATACGTATAATCTTTAGAAATTTTGTAGTTTGATATACCGAATCATTTTAAGAAAGTTGGATCTTTAAGACCAATATCACAATATGCTTTTAACTTATTATTAAAATGAAATGTGCATTTAAGTTATTAATAAATAACAAATTTCAAATATAATTATTTAAAAAAAAAAACCAAATTCTTCATAATAATTATTTGATTTATGAAGTAATTTAAGCGCAACAGTAATTATGCTGTTTATTGCAATGAAAGTTATGATCCAACTTTTGGATATGGTTATGATTTACTCGCTTCAAATAACAATAGTAATTGGAGTAATAAAGTATGTTCCTATCCTAATGTTGGAATTTCAAATTCATTTACAATCTCAAATTATGAAGTTTTTCAAGTAATCAAGAATTAACGTGAATTATCTTTTATAAGTATGAATGACAATATTTCAATAACAAACGAGTATATGAATAATTCTGTGTTTAACCAAAATTTTCTTCTATTGTATGCATGGTACATGAATTGACTTTCAGTTTCTGGAGCTAAATTTAAAAATATTATAGTTTATTTTTCGACAATGTTGTGTCCTTTATTTTATATTTTTCTTAAGGACAAAATTACTTATGGAGCATATTTTTATGGTTTAAATTGTGTATAGATTGGTTTATTCAGTTTTGACTAATAGGATGTTTGTTAAGAGTTGCTTACATATTGTATAAGGATATGATATTATTGATATATAAACAATAAACAAAAAACCTTTTAAAATCATATAAATTATTTTCTATAATTGGGGTTTCAGAATTAATGATTCGGCGTCCGATCTCAGATAAAATAAGTGACATATTTATTTCAAAAGAACAATGTACAAATTCTATTTCTGTATTTTTTAAAGTATGTACTTATTTACATAATCGCTTACCGATAAATGTTTATCAAAAAAAAAGCTAATTTTATCACCGGCTACGCCTATTTAATCTTCTAATTTGGAATTCTAAAAAAGAAAATATGATCTTTCAAACTCCCATTTATTTTAAAAAAAAGTTAATTATGAAATCCCCATTATGATAAAGTCTAAATTTAATATACAGATTATTATATTTACTAGTGATATAATCCAAACATTCGGCACGAATTTAGTTTT